TAGAACAGAATAGAATAAACTCCCCACTTTTTTACTATTTCAGGGTCAGGAGCCCTTCGTTGAGATGGCCATTGAAAACTCTATTAAATATCTTCCTCAGGAGCTGGTCTTTGGTGAGATCTCCCAGGAGAAACCATTTCTGGACCCGTCTTCAGGTAAAGAAAGATTCTTCTGATACAACAGTCCTGAAGAGTCTGTACTGAGCTTGTTTTTCCAAGAATACAGGTAGTCTTCGACTTACAACAGTTCATTTAGCAACCGTTCGAAGTTACATCACTGAAAAAAGGTGACTTATGACTGTTTTTCACATTTACGGCCGTTGCAGCATCCCCAGGGTCACATGAACAAAATTTGGATGCTTGGCAACTGACTCATCTTTATCACGGTCGTAGTGTCCCCGTGGTCATGTGATCCCCTTTTGCGACCTTCTGACAAGCAAAATCAATGGCGGGAGGCAGATTCACTTTGCAGCCGTGTTACTAACTTGACAGCTGCAGCAATTCACTTAACAGCTGTGGCAAAGAAAGGTCGTAAAATGGGGAAGAGCTCACTTAACAAATGTCTCACTCAGCAACAGAAATTTTGGCCACAATTGTGGTCATAAGTCAGAGTGACTACTATTGTGAGACAACCCAGGAGCACAACACAGCACACAGAGGCTTTGTCTTTTAATAGTGGTTTATATACAAGACAGCTGTATACATACATATACATGGTAGGCAAATACCTGGCAAGCAATCAGTCTTTTTTACTCTGCACGGAGAACCAAAATGGAGAGAGAACACAAGGAGGGAGAGATACGCCCTCTCATGGCCTCATATATATATGTATAGACAGCTTCTTAAAGTGGCAAAACCCTGTGGGACCCATCCTCAGTCTTAAAGCGGCAATAACCATGCTGATTCATCCTCATTGCATCAGCCTTACAACAGCTGGTCAGCTATTAAATCTCAATACCTTGACATTGTTTTTAGAAATAATTAAGTCGCTGAGCATATTCAACACACCTTCCTCCTCCTACTTTCCCTACAACAAAACCCTGTGAGGTGGGTTGGGGTGAGAGAGAGTAATGAACCCAAAGTCACCCAGCTGGCTTTCATGGCTAAGCCAGGACTAGAATTCACGGTTTCTAACCTGGCACCTTAACCACTCAAATCAGACAGACTCTGTGATAGATGTTTTTAAAACATGCAAATTACTTTTTGTAATCTCTTTCTCAGCAAATGGGACGGCAGTGATGCTACCTGTGGAAACTTCTCTTCTCTGTGGTGGAACAGAAGCAGTGGTTGTCCTTCCAACTCAGGTAGGAGTAAGATCTCCAAATACCGATGTGATTTCTTCATAATGAATCCTACTCCATTCCTCCCGGTGCCCTCTCGAGGGGTGGGCGGCTGGGGGTTCGCAGGGGTTCGGGAGAGCCCCGAGCTAAGAATTTATGCCCTATGGCACGCATGCTGAAAGTGGCATGCAGAGCCACTTCTGCCAGCATGCGAGAGGACGCTCGGAAGAGCCCCACTCCACATGCACGCGTGCCCCCACCAGCCAGCTGATTGTTGGGTATCTGCCACGCATGCGCAGAGGTATGCGGCGTGCAGGAGGGTCGCGCGCACATGCGCAGTGGTACATGGTGCTCGCACAGGGGGGGAGTGTGCGCATGCACAGGGAGCAGGGGAAGCCGCACACGCATTGATTCATGGGTGCAGGCATGCATATGTGCCACTTTTGGCATGCAACATGGAAAAGGTTCGCCATCACGGCTCTATGCAGTTTGGAGAACCCCCAAATCCCACTCCTGGCTGGCCCTGCCCACCCAGCCCTTCCCTCCCCAGGAGTCCCCATGTGGATGCAGGTAAGTGCAGGGCGCGCACGGAGGCTCGGGTAGGGTGAAGAACGGGCCTCCCAGAAGTTCAGAAATGGGCCTGTTTCTGACTCCCAGAGAGCCTCCGGTGCCCGGAGGAGGCCATTTTCGCCCCCATGGAGGCTCAAGGAAAGCCTCCGGAGCCCAGGGAGGGAAAAATGCTCCCCTCCATCGTAGTGCAGGAGGCCGACTAGGCCACACACCCACCATGGCCACTCCCACCCAGCAACCGGGCAGAGAACGCTTTGCTAAATTTTTTGAAGACCACCTCTGGCCATCTCCTTTATTTTATTAGTTCCCTCTAGCTTGCTTTTTGGATCATGAGAAGCTTCCAGTATTCTGATGGGAACTCTGCAGATGTTATGTCATCTGCAGAGTTATGGCACTCATGTTGTTATTTGGAAGATGTCTTCCAACAACTTTGTGTAGGTGTTCAGTGGAGTTTGTTGATTAGTTCCCTTGCCAAACGGAGCTCTCTGACCAATTCATTGAAGAAGCTACTTTCTAGATCATGGGTGCCCAACCCGCCACTCCATGGGCCGGCACCAGGCTGCAGCATACTGGCAACCGGGCCACGCAAATAAGTGAAGCCTCATACGTGGGATGCAGGAAGCACTGTTGTGGTTCGCTGGCAGCCGATGCAGACGGCAGCAGAATCGGACAGTGGGGAAGAACGGGGACCAGTCAGGGAGTCTGGAGAGGACTTGGACAAGTGTCCTGCGTCCGATGCAGAGATGGGGCCAGGACCATCTGGGAGTGGAGTGTAGCCTTCGGAGTCTGGCAGCAGCAAGGCAGAGAGGACCCAGGGGAGCCTGTTCCCTGTTCCCAGTGTGCATGTGCACAGAGCTGCTAGAAGGCGAGAGCAGCTGAAACAAAAGGGGCGACTCAGGAGTAAGGCTGGGAGGTGATTGCCCCTCCCATAAGTTATAAAGGTCAGGCCAAGATGACGAAAACTTTGCAGGAAGCAAAGTCGTTCGCTCGGTTCAAAGTCATTCTTGAAGCTCTTTGTACTTCGGTTGGTTTTTTTTGTACTTCGATTGGTTTCTTTTCTAGTTCATTCGATACTTCTGTTTTTGGCAGCCCTTCACAGAACTGAAAGGTGTGTGCTTATCTCGGAGGACTGTTTGAGCTTAACTCCGTCTGGGAATGAAAGCAATTGTTGCAATAAAATAAGTCTTGTTTTTAAAAGAACTATGTGCTTAATTATGGTTTAGGAAGCTTAAGTCAGAACAAGCACACGAAATCATGCCGCCTCTGGTCCACAGAAAAAACTTTCTCCACGGAGCCCGTCCCTGGTGCCCAAAAGGTTGTGGGCCACCGTTGTAGATGGGCAAGAGTCCTGATCCAAAGGTCTTGCCATCAGTTGATTCCTAAGCAATGCAGCCACCAAACGGGTTCGAAGGTTCTGCAGAATCATTGGTGTGGGTTGTTGTTGTTGTTTTTCCATTAAGAAAGCCAACTTGTAATGTTCCTGAAACTATGAATTAATTGGGAATGTTTTCTTTCTCTGTTAGGAAGCCGTAACCTTTGACGATGTAGCTGTGCTTTTCTCTGAGGGGGAATGGGCTCTGCTGAATTTCAGCCAAAAATCTCTATACAAGGAAGTGATGCTGGAAAACGCAAGCAATGTGGTCTCCTTAGGTAAGGAATTGACTTTCCTCTGGGCTCACATAGGATTGGAACATATTACAGCACATAGGTTTAAAACCAGAGATATTTTTATTGGGGATTTTACCTGAAGGTTACAATAAAAAAATAACATATCTGATTATTAGTGTTCTAACTGCAGCCAGAATTGTATTTGCTCAAAATTGGAAAAATGAGAAAATTCCAATGGAGGAGGAAGTGATTAAGAAAATAATGGAATGTGCAGCAATGAGTAGATTAACATTAGCAATTAGACAGCAAGAAGAAAAAGAATATTTTAAGATATGGGATTTATTTTACCAATGGTTAGATAGAAAAGTAAAAAATTGAAGCACAATGTAACAGTAATGATATATTATAATTATTAATAATTATTTTTTATAATTATTATAATTATATAATAATTATTGTTGAAGAAATTATATTATGAATACAATCCAGTAAGAATTGAGATTTGCTCTTGGAATTGAAATTAAAAATTTTAATGATAGTATAATAATGATATAGTATGATATGGAAAGTTGATTAATACAATATGAATATAAAGTTAAGAGGAAAAGATTACAGATATTGTGCACATGATATATGTACCAAACCGACACACTGTACAATTGAAAGAAGGTTTTATTTGTTGTTTTGTATGTTATAAAAAATAAAAAAACTTTTTACACCCCCCCCCCCCCCAAAAAAAAAAGATTGGAACATATTATATACTCAAAAGTAACCAGCAGATGTATTTATTAAAGGAAATTCCCATTTAATATTTTTCTCTCTATGGAAGAGGAAAGTATTCATACGTGTATTGCTTGTAAAAGTAAAGGTTCCCCTTGCACATACATGCTAATTGTTTCTGGCTCTAGGGGGTGGTGCTCATCTCCATTACAGCGCTATCCAAAGACATCTCCATAGTCATTTGGCCGGCATGACTAAATGACGCATGGGACGCTGTTGTGCCACCAAAGTAGTCCCTATTTTTCTACTTCCATTTTTTACATGCTTTTGAACTGCTAGTTTGGCAGAAGCTGGGACAAGTAAGGGGAGCTCACATCATTACGTGGTGCTAGGGACTCGAACCACCGAACTGCCGACCTTTCTGATCGACAAGCTCAGCATCTTAGCCACTGAGCCACTGCGTCCCCAGTTATTATTGCTTGTAGGAAGAGCTAAAACCTTCATTCCGTTTCTATAGAGATATCGTACATTTGTACCTTAACCGTGAATTTTTTTCTTCTTTCATTTTGTTTCCAGCAGGTGATGGACAACAGACTGAGAGTTATACAAAGGAACCTGTAGAACCTTCAAAATCAGTAGAAACTGAAATCAGGAGAAAGATATTTGGAAATCTGTGGGGACCACAAAGGCCCAAGGAAACCCAGTTAAACAGAGACATGGAAAAATCTCACCTCTCATCGCATGCATGCAAGGACGATGATAAAAAGTATAGTTCGAACCTTCCTCTTACTTTACACCAGGATTTTGAGCTTAGAGAGAAAAGACATAAATGCACTGAGTGTGGGAAAAGCTTCAGCAAGAACAGCAATCTGAACGCTCATAAAAGGACCCACACGGTAGAAAAACCGTATCAATGCACAGAATGTGGGAAAAGCTTCCGCAGGAATAATAATCTTACCTCCCACAAAAGGATCCATTCTGGGGAGAAACCATATCAATGCACGGAGTGCGGGAAGAGCTTTCGCAAAAACAGTCACCTTACATCTCATAAAACAATCCACACTGGGCTGAAGCCATATAAGTGCGCGGAGTGTGGAAAAAGCTTCAGCATGAACAGTTACCTTACTTCCCATAAAAGGATCCACACTGGGGAAAAACCCTACCAATGCACGGAGTGCGGGAAGAGCTTCAATGGCTTGACTTCCTTTACCACTCATAAAAGGCTCCATTCAGGCGAAAAACCATACAAATGCACAGAGTGTGGAAAGAGTTGCAACACCAGCAGTGATCTTACTTACCACAAAAGGATCCATTCCGGGGAGAAGCCGTACAAATGCCCGGAGTGTGGAAAAACCTTCCGTATTAGCTCATCCCTTACTTGCCACAGAAGGATCCATACAGGGGAGAAACCATATCAGTGTCCGGAATGTGGAAAGCGTTTCATAATGAGTTCTTCCCTTACATGCCACAGAAGGACCCACACAGGGGAGAAACCATACAAATGTTCAGAGTGTGGAAAAAGTTTCAGTCAGAATGGTCACCTTACTTCTCATAAGAGGATTCACGCAGGGGAAAAAGTTCCGTAGTGAAAGGTCTTCTGTTACTCCGATTCCCTTACGCCCGATCAAGAGATGCATTATGTGTGGGAAACAGAATCAGTTTCCCTTCTTATAAAAGATCAGTATGGGGGCAGTGGTGTTTTTCAAAAAAAAATTCCTACCAGTTCGAAGCTTGCTTCATGTGCACGCTTCACGGGGGCATGCACCAATCATGCAGTTTGCACGTGCATGCACAATGATCCAACAAGAAAAAAAACCTGCCTCTGCCTCCCAGCAATTTGCCTCCTTGCAGCAAACAACAACCTGTTTCAGTTTCAGCACAGCCTGATTAGCACAAACAGCTGATTGTCGGTTGGATCTGCCTCCGACCATCAGCTGTTTCAGGCTGCAGGGATTGCCATATCCTATTGCCGCCTCCTCATGCCCCATTTTTGGGAGGCAGGGATCGGAACGGGCCAAAACTGGGGCGCGTTGAGGCCAAAAATGGGATGCAATGAGGCGCGCAGAGACAGCAATAAGCGATGGCAATCCCTGAAACAGCTGATCGCCGGGAGGCCGATCCAACCAACAATCAGCTGCTTGTGCTAACCAGGCTGTGCTGAAACTGAAACTGAAACAGGCTGTTTGCTGCAAGGAGGAAAGTTGCTGGGAGGCAGAGGCCAAAGGGTGGGGGCCGGCGGGTGGGTGGGGCAGTCAAAATTTTCCCTACCAATTCACCGAACCAGTCAGAATTTTCCCTACCAGTCCACAAGGACTGGTCAGAACTGGCTAAATACCATCCCTGGTATGGGGGAACCCCCATAGATCTTCTTGTCTATGGAGATTCTCAGTCATCCAGGTTATGGTTGTACCAAAGGTGCTTTTTTCCAGAGGCAACTGGACTTTCTGTTTTTTCTTTGACGATGTTTCACTTCTCAGAGTTGGATGTTTATCTGTGTCATCAGCTTGACCTGAGTAGTGCAAATAGGTGAGGAGCTTTCTTGGAAGTGCTGAAAGGACTGTGTTGTAGTAATGTAGACAAACCTCTAAGTGGCCTCAATGACTTTAAAAGGATACAAATGACCAGCTGTCTGCAAAGAGCATAAATCTTTCCATTCCTCTCCATCCAGTCTGGAAACAAAGCTGTAAAAAAATTGTTACTGTTCAGTACATACATGATGGTTGCATTGGATTAGGAAATAAATTGTTTTATTGCTGATCATAGTTCAATATGTATTACATTTTATTGTTTTGTGCATACCTGTAAGTGGCTATGAAATAAAAATCTATATTCGTGCCAGCCGATTCAAGTCTTATGGATTTGTGCAAGATGCTAAGCCAAATATCTATATATTACGAAGGTTTGTGTAGATTCAGCCACACTTTCAACTAAAAAATACTTCTTTGGTCTTTTTAGTTGCCAGTAGAAAGGGAGTGGGGGGAAAGCAGTGCATTCCTTAAATGCCTCAGATAATTGCCTTGGCAGCCCAAAGCTATCGGCATGCAAGAATATTATTAGAGAGCATGATTGATGACTCTTGGCTATGGAAGTGTCCCATTGGAGAATATACATCCACGGAGTGGGGGGAAGACCAGGGTCAAGAATGAAATGAATGATGTGTCTTAGAGCTGGCTGCACCCAGCTAATGCCGACTTGGTCACTCCTAATAATTCATTTTTTTCCTCTGAGAGATGCGGCTAGAGACTTATGATTGAATGGAGGTAGATTTGTTGGAGCCCTGACACACACACTGTTCGAGTATTGCAGCGTAAATTCAGTGCCAGAAAAGTAAGCACAGATGGCTGAGGCTTCATTTAACTTCTTTAGAAACATATAAAGTAAATGTTACAATGCCAGTTGTAGATTTCTCCAAACTCCCAAGAACAGAAGCAGATATGTTACAGGTTCAAAGCAGAGCAGCAACTCAACTTCAGCTCAGAAACAGACATCAGTTTCACTTTAGTTCAGCAGGCAAGCAAGACACAACAGAGGAGAGAAGCAGTTTCATTTTCAATAGACAGACTCAGAGTTTTAACACAGCTTCAGAGCTGCAGAGCTTAATATAGAGCCACGCCTAGACTACTAGTTTCAGTTTCCAAACAGTCCTCATTGGCTGACTTAGTTGCTATGCCTATTGATTGGCTGGCCTTGTTACCCTGCTCTATTCCAATTCGTGACTATCCTCTGACACACACACCTGCCTTTTAGAATTCTTTATTGGCCAAGTGTGATTGGACACACAAGGAATTTGTCTTATATATCATTCAAGGCTTTCAGCTGTTTAGCTATTTTACAGTGGGCAAAGTTATGTACAGTTTATACTATTTTTTTTAAAGCTTCTGCTTTCAGAAAGAAAACACCATCACGTGGTCATGCATGTAGTCTCAACTTACAGTATAACCATTTGTTTAGGGGCTACTGAAAGATACAACAGCACTGGGGGGGGGGGAGGACTTACAACCATTTTTCAAGTTAAGACCGTTGCAGCATTCCCCACAATCACATGACCAAAATTCAGGTGCTTCGCATCTGCTTCATATTTATGACGGTTGCAATGTGATTTCCCCTTTTGCGAGCTTCTGGCAAGCAGATCAGAAGGTGAGAACCAGTCCTAGAGCAAAGGAAGAATTTGTGAGAACAATTAACCAGTGGAAAGACTTGTCTCCAGAAATTGTGGGTTAGGGAGCAGATTACTTTCAATCTACTCTGAAGATTCCTCTTAAGTCCCCAGTCTTTTCCAGCTTGGCGGCCCGGCACTCCATTTGTGCGACTGTCGGGTGTGTGCGCCCTCCACTTGCACGGAATTTCCAATGTTGGAGCATGCACAGCAGTGGTGGGATTCAATTTTTTTTATTAATGGTTCTGTGGGTGTGGCTTGGTGGGCGTGGCAGGGGAAGGATACTGCAAAATCCCCCTTCCCTCCCCACCCCACTAACCTGCTTTCCAGCTCCGTTCTCCTGTGCAGGGCAACCAAAGAAGACCCAGACGATCAGCTGGGACTCCAGAGGCAGAGAATAGATGGGGGCAGGGCCAGTGAGAGGCGGCATTTGCCGGTTCTCTGAACTACTCAAAATTTCCACCACCGGTTCTCCAAAACTAGCCCAAACCGGCTGAATACCACCTCTGATTCACAAATTCTGGAGGCAAGCTGTTCCACTGATTCATTGTTCTCACTGTCAGGAAATTTCTCCTTAGTTCTAGATTGTCTTTCTCCTTGATTGTTTTCATCTGTTGCTTCTTGTCCTGCCCTCAGGTGCTTTGGAGAATAGCTTGACTCCCTCTTCTTTGTGACAGCCCCTCAAATATTGGAAGACTGCTGCTTTCATGTCACCCCTAGTCCTCTTCCTTCTTTTCCTTCAACTAACAGAATAACAGTTGGAAGGGACCTTGGATGACTTCTAGTCCAGCCTCTGCTCAAGCAGGAGAGCCTAGAGCAGGGGTGGTCAATCTTTTGGACCTCAGGGACCACCAAACTCGTACTTTTAAATCTTGAGGACCACTAATATGAATTTTTAAAAAAAGAAAATATATTTAATATACAATTTTTATTATATGTGTGTGTGTGTGTGTGTGTGTGTGTGTTTCACAGGTATTTATATGTATGGTATTCCGCTTTGTTCGGGTATTTTCCCATGTCATTATAGTTGTGCTTTTAAAGTTGTAGTGACGTTTCGGCAGAATCTCGTCTGCCATCATCAGGCTTGTGTATTGTGTTCGTCTGTGAGTCGGGCTTTCACAGCCATTTCTGTTTTAAATTTGGTGCTAGCCTACTGCTGTGCCAGAATGGTTTTTTCTTCATCCTGATTGGTTGGGAGTCTTGGTCTGTGTTTATTGGTCTTGGAGTTTGCTGTGTTTTGCTTGATTGGTGTTTCTAATATCTTCTATATGTTTTGTAGTGGTTTTTTTGTCTTGATTGGCTGGCAACCTTGTGTTTCTTGTATTGGAGGCTTTTAGTGTGGCTTGGTTTCGGGTAAACAGATGGCTATCATTTATTAGGAAGCTAGTTTTCATCTGGGTGCCTGGTTGGGGTGTGTTTGAGCTAGAGGTATCAGGGGGGGGGCTCTGTTTGTGCCCAGGTGTTTGCTTGGCTTGTGGTGTGGATATTTTTTTGTTTGTGAGTGCAGGCTTCCAGATAATTGACACACCTAAACAGCACACACCCCAAAATCAAATTCACCATGGAAATGGAAACAAACAACTACCATTCCTAGATGTACTAATCTACAAAAAAACAGAAGGCACACTAGGACACACCGTATACCAGAAGAAAACACACACCAACCGCTACCTCAACGCCCAATCCCACCACCACCCAGCACAGATAAACTTCCATGGCCAAAACACTAATTGCCAGAACCAAACGCCTGGCAGACAAGACACACATAAAGACTGAATTATGCACCCTGACTAAAGTACTGACAGCCAATGGCTTCCACAAAAGCAAAATCACATGCCTGATCCACAAAAACACACTGAGACATAATGGAGACCTAGAAGATGAACAGACCTATGGAACAGCTGTCCTGCCCTACATAAGAGGTACTACAGACAAAATCAGTAAGATACTACACAGGCATCACATCAAGACTGCCTTCAAAACAGACAGAAAAATAGCAGCCATCCTAAGAAATCCCAAAGATAAAACTGACCTGGAAAACCAAAGCATATATGAAGTCCCCTGCGCATCATGCCCTGCCACATACATTGGACAGACCAATAGAAGAATAAGTACCCGCCTGGATGAACACAAAAATGCAGTAAAAAAGCTGGAACACACTTCCTCGCTAGTCCAACACATGAAAGCCACAGGTCATAGCATCGACTTCAATGGCACCAAAACCCTAGCCACTATAGAAAACCCCAGCTACAGAATTATCAGAGAAGCCATGGAGATTGAAAAAAGTGGAAATAATTCTCTAAAAAGATGGTTGAATAGTAAACAGGAGACGAGAGAAGCAACCAGGAGCAAGAGACACCAAGATATGCATATGCACCAAGACAAATTCCTTGTCTGTCACTTGGCCAATAAAGAATTCTGTTCTGTTCTATTCTATTCTATTCTATTCTATTCTATTCTAATTCTAATTCTAATTCTAATTCTAATTCTATACTATACTATACTATACTATACTATACTATACTATACTATACTATACTATACTA